GGGAGGGAGGGAGGGAGGGAGGGAGAGAGAGGTGTGCAAATGATGATGAACGAGGGGGAAGGTTGAAATGCCAACTGACTTCATTTAATGAAAAATGAATTGAAAGTTGTGAGGAGTGTATCACTGCCAAAGGAAGAAATCCCCAAAAATACAGAGGCCATTGTGAAGAAATAATAAGGAGGTTGTTTGGCAGACGAGTACATGAGCAGGAATAAGTGTTTATGTTTGTGCATCTTGGATGAAAGGGGGGGGGGCATTGTTTAAAGATGCTGAGTCGATTTCCTGTTTGTCTTGGCAGAGATCCGGGAGGCGTTTAAGGTGCTGGATCGTGACGGAAACNCAGGCCAGCTAAGATAGAAATGTGTTTTTCCAACCCTTGCTTTTCCTCTCTGAGGCAAAATCTGACTTTGGACTGTATAAATACAATTGACCTGACTTTTTTCAAGGGATTTTGTAGATATTATGTTATCTTCTTCACATCCTCTGATAATAATAATGTAGTCTGTGTTTCCTCTACCAAAAAACAAAACAAAATATTTTATTTAGTTATTTACTTACTTTGTTTGCTCTATTTGCTCATTTGCTCTCATGAATCTCTGCTTTTTTTTGTTGTCATTTACAGTGGCGTTTCTCTCCTCTGCTTCCTGTTTCACTGTGTGTGTGTGTGTGTGTGTGTGTGTGTGTGTGTGTGTGTGTGTGTGTGTGTGTGTGTGTTTGTGTGTGTATGTGTGTCTTACCCCTCCCCACACTGGAGCAGAGACTGGTCGACACCTTGTTAGGTTAAGTGCAATAAATACTTTTCAACAAGTGTTTATAAATCCCTCCAAAACCAAAGATAGAGAGACGTCGACCCCAAACGTCTGAAAGTCAGGGCGAAATATCAGCGTTTGGCGACAGTGGTGAGGATGTTAGTAGGGAAGCTGGACCTGGACAGAGCACTAGCTGCTCTCCTGCTGTTACAGCTACAAAGTGAAGCTGACAGCACCCCCACCCCCCACCCCTAAGCCCAGCCTTCACTCCCCCACCCAAAGCGGTCAATCTAGGGGAAAAGTAAACTTTGACTGGGACCTACCACTGTGCCTGGAGTTATCCCTTCACCAGAACCAGTCATGATAAATTCCCTCTGTGATGACTAAACCCTGTGCACAGACATGATGCAGCAACGTCAGATCTGAGATTTCTTGATGCCTGCTAACTGTACTGAGCAGGAATGTTTATGCATAGAACAGCATCACTGGGAGTGATTACTTTAATACTGGCAACAGACAGGATGCCTTCAGCAAACCACACCCCAACTCTTACTTGTTAACTGTTTAAATGTGGCTTTGGGAGATGATCTGACTGAAAGATGAAGAATATACTGCAAAATATGAAAGAGGAAACAAAAGACAAAGAGAATAAAGTAACACACTGGAAGGGAAAGAATGTGAAAGCTTTAGAAGGAGTGGAGGTGACAGCAGCTGTGACAGCAGGTGGAGAAAATGAATCGATGGGTGGAATTGATCTTGTTAACTTGAGGCAGTGGTGCGAGACCAATTGTATAACGTGCAGCCCAAAGCTGGGTCAGACAGGAAGAGAGGCGTGAGCGCTGGAGGAGCAGGCGGGGAGGACGGGCACGGACACGTAGAGGTTGTGCAAAACTCGATGATGAACGAGGGGGAAGGTTGAATGCCAACTGACTCATTTAATGAAAAAATGAATTGAAAGTTGTGAGGAGTGTATCACTGCCAAAGGAAGAAAATCCCCAAAATTACAGAGGCCATTGTGAAGAATAATAGGTTGTTTGGCAGACGAGTACATGAGCCGGAAATAAGTGTTTATGTTTTGTGCATCTTGGATGAAAGGGGGGGGGGGCATTTTTAAAGATGCTGAGTCGATTTCCCTGTTTGTCTTGGCAGAGATCCGGGAGGCGTTTAAGGGTGCTGGATCGTGACGGAAAACGGGTTCATTTCCAAGCAGGAGCTGGGTATGGCCATGCGCTCTCTGGGTTACATGCCCAGTGAGGTGGAAGCTGGCGCATCATCATGCAGAGACTAGACATGGATGGTGAGTCACACACACACACACACACACACCACCACACACACACACACTGAATGATGCAGATTGGGTTCCTCCGCTCAGTGACAGACATTTAAAAAAAAAAAAAAAAAAAAAAAAAAAACCCATATACAAATGTAAACACCCTGAGGTGTGTGGTTTCATTAACAGGCAACTTTGCAACGATTTACAGTGTTTTTCTATGCACACTTGACTGTTCAGATTACATATTCCTCTGTGTCATGCATAAAACATTTATTCATGCATGCTTGAGTGTGTACTCATTTCAATCTCAACCACTCTGCTGTTTCCACTTGACACATGAAAGTATTAAAGTGAAACTCGTGCTGCGAGAGGACAACCTAAATGGAGAAATATGTGGGATTAATAAAAATGTATGCACACACGCCACAGGTATAGTTATCGTACATCAAAGTCGTTTTTTTATGATGGTTGTCCAGCGGGAACTAAATAAAAGAGCATCAGTGTTTTCGCTGCAGCGGCTGAATCTGTAGGAGAGCACGTCACAAAACTGTGGTATAACAATACATCTGTGTTGCTTATAGTTCCTCACCTGTGACCTTTTAACCTCTTGTCAATACCTCTTGAACACAAACGCAAGCAATCCCATTTTTCGCGCAGACAGCAAAGTCTCCTGCATTAATTGTGATTGACATTTTATAAAAGGGTAGTCTCTTAAAATTGTATGAGGCGGGGAGGCGGAAATGCAATATGCAAATGTCAGAACAGTGGGAAAATATTCAAATTTTTCATGCTGCTATCACAGCCTTTGATAAGTGCTTTTCAGTTTCACTGTGGGGAGAGAAATACTGTAAATGTTCAAGGCTGAATATTAAAGTATGAGAAGTTACTGCTTCCATTCCTCTTCTGGCTCATCCGCTTCAGGATCTCAGGAGAGCGTAGCTGCCTTTTGTGCCTCAGGGCCGGCTCTCGTCGCAGCTTCTGCTGCAGCTCCAAGACGCGGGCGAGGTTACTTCAGGAGCTGATGAAGGTCAAAGCGGCTTTTGTCTCAGGAAGTCTGTGAAGTGTACTGCTGCTGTTAATTTATTTATTCACTCGCTTCTCATCATCCTCTCTGTGTATTGAATTAGAGTTTGTTGGAGTGGTTTGGAAAACCTCTTTCCCATTGAAAGATACAGATCAACTTGTTTATATTGATTCATGTCATTAGGAAATGCTGGAGTTTTTGTCTATGTTGACATTATTGAATTTGACATCTGCCTGGCTGCCTAGCAAAAGCTGCTTCTTTGTTAATTTGCCAAACTTCTATTCAATAAGGACAGCTCGCTCAGACATGATCCAACAGGTTTAGACTAACAAATGAAGAGAAAGGCACACACACTGACTTCATGTCTGGTGAAGCTTTCAGGTGCAAAGAATCTGTGTGATTGAATAACAGAATGAACATGGTGCATCAGTAAGCTGTTAAGATAAGATATAAACAGCTGCAGTTGGCAACCAGGAGGTAAAGAGAGTGTTTCCAATCTCTTTCGCACATACAGGCCTCAGCTGCTATAAGCTAAAACCCTGGAGTCCGTAAAGCCCATATGTGTTGTATGTGAAAATTTCTGATTTTGGTTCCAGCCAAGTGACAAGCTCTGGGGCTGAAATGCGAAACAAAATGCTGTTCCTCGAATCACCCCTTGAGGCTGACTCCAAAAGTGAGTCAATCCCTGTAGACTCCCATGTTAAAATGTCCAACTTTACAGCAGAAATAAACATGTTTACAGCCTGGTACAAAAAACAGATTTGGTCTCTACAGCTAATTTCCTCCTTCATGACAACAGGAGGGTGATCTTTTACATAACTCACCTGTTTACATTTTATCAAGGATTCAAGTTCTGCACAATTGAGACCATGCTATTTGAGTGCCGCAAACCGGCATGCACCAAAGTCTCAGCTGCACACATGCCCCGACTCTTTGTCCAATTTTTGGATTATCTTGGAGTTAGGTGGAGTCAGGTTCTGCCAAGATGGCGACGGTGGAGCAGCCCACTCTGAGCTTCAAAACTTCTCTTTAGAAAACCTATGGGTGACATCACAGAGGCTACATCTGTATTTATATACAGTCAGTGGCGCCTCTAGTGATGTGCACTGTAACCCCCCTAGAAAAAAAGGCTTAAAGCAACGTAGGTTCTGCTAAACAAAAATATCAACCCTGTAAAAAGATGCTATAATCAAATACAAATCCACAAACTAATACAGTTCTTCTAAACTAGAGTGCAGCACAATTAACATTTAAGACCCTTTTCACTATTTTCTGACATTACTAATGAATTAAAGGACCTATTTGTAAGTTTCGCTATTGCTACATAGCCAGCGTTAGCATTAACAACTATTTGCTTACTAGTTTAGAAGATTCAGGATCAAATTTCACTTAACTTCTCTTTCCTTTACTCCTTTCCTTTCCTTTCCTTACTACACCAAGAGCTGTCTCCTGCAGTGGAAAGCAACCCTCTTGTTATACTTCTATTTCCATCACTTCTTGTCTTGTACTGAAGTTAGCATGCTAACCACCTAGCCCCAGCCAGGTCGGACTGTCTCATCACCCTCCGATACCAAGTCACTGTAGCGTCCAGTCGTCCCTGAAGACGTAGCACTGCTCAGAGGGCGTAACAGAAGTTACTGCTAATGCTGGTGATGAAGCAATAGCAAAACAAATAGCTCTTTTAATCATCAGGAAGTAAATTTTCTGGTTATTTGAATCATTAGATGTAGCCCAAATTCATTCATTCATTCTCTTTATGCACTTGTGACAACACAGGGGGCCAGTTCCAACACACACTGGAGGGAATTTGTTAGAGAACAAATTGAGAGCAGTTCATCGCAATATAAAACAGAATAGACTAATATGTTTAGTTTTTTTAAAATCTGGTGCATGTGTGTTTTGGTCATTACCAAAGCAGTAGGTGACATTATCCTCTCAAATGCATGTGTGTAGACACAATGATAAAGAGCCGGTGATCAAAGGGACGTGGCACGGAGGGGAGGAGGGGCATTAGCTGATGAATGAGAATGGACGATAGTGATTGTATCTTGGCCAAGTGGGCAGCTGTGAGGATGGGACCCTCGTTCACAGCCATCGATTCTGAGCCCAGCGGCCAAGTCCAGCTGATCTCTAGAAGATACTGATGGGTTATCTGCCCCGCTGTCAGACCAATCCATGCGATTGTTATTGAGCTCTGTATGTCCTTCAGGAGAGGTGTGACTCCTCTTCTTTGTCCCAGATCGCAGCGTTGCAGCAGCCTTTGTTTTTCATTATAGATCACACATGCTCTACTTTTTCTTCTGGTTTTAGTGACCTTGACGCCATGCATCTCTCTAACTTTAACTGTAAGTTTGGCTTTGTGTAGGCGTGCATTGTTTTTAAAATCACTTGTTTGTCTTGAACTAAAGGGAACGTGATTTTGCATTGTTCTTCAATAATTCATTGTTCTGTCTCCAGCTGAAACAGGATGCTCGGTGGTGACATAACGCAGGAAGAGACTGGTCAAAAGCAGGTGGCTTGACTAGGACAGACACAGAAAGTGACTCAGTGACTTTGTGCATAATGTTGAGCTGTCACAAAATGCAGATTCATCAAAGTAAGAGCTGGTATGCAACCATTATGTGTTAAAGCGAACAGGGTTTTTAAGGTGAATGTTCCCCAGTATTACCCAATGTTTTATGAACTGTAGCTTTGGCACAACATGAAGAAACAATGAAAATGAAGAGGTTTCGTGATGGAGAATCAATCGTAAAATATCAAGTGAAAAAATGACAACTGACTGTGGTCAGTTTACTGTTGGATGAGGGTTAAACTTAATAAATGGTCTGTTTGTAAAAAAAGTAATCTTCTTTATATCATGTTATGAAACCAATCAGCACATCAGTGCAGTAATGTTACAGCAGCTGGTTCAACCTGTGTACTGTTAATAAAAGTTTCAGGTGCTGCTGAACAAACAGTCCCACAGGTGTCAGTGTTAATGCACAGGTTTGGACTGATGCACCCTCTTCACACCTGTGATAAAACAGCATAAAACAGCCGCAATTAAAAAAAGCTGACATAATATTCATATAATACTGTAGATGGCTATCATTTTTTTTTATCAACATGAGTATTAACACAGTCAGGACAAATTGTTAAAAGGTCAGATTTAAACTGTCATGTTATTATTAAATCATTATCATGCTGTGTGTAGAGCTTCTTCATATGAATCAGAGCACAAAATATGGAAGGACTGCCATGAACATGGTATTTTAATCATTCATTCATCCATTCATTCATTCATTCATTCATTCATTCATTTCCACACAGAACTGCCAGGGGTCTGCAGACACTGCCAGCACACTGTACATTGCATGTAAGATGTGTAGTACAGTATAGAGAATTATGAAACAAGACGAGTCGTGTTTTAACTGATTATAATAATAATGATACATTTTTCATAATAGGAATAAAGTTGCAATAAAAAGGTTTTGGACCACCACACAGGCAAGAAGACAGCCTCACAGAAACATAGCCCTGAAATGCTTCTGTGTTATCAAGTCTAACCTGTTCACAAACCACCTCCTGTTGACACATCCAGGAGACACAGGGCAACATGATCTTCCCATAGTGATTTAAATTCAGCATCTACTCTCCTTGTAGTTCTGGTCTGGTCTGAACAAGCTCTTCAGAAGGATATCAGGCTCACACCTGCTACACACCTGGTCTCACTGTCTTCACAGACTAGTCTGTAACCTTGTCTGCTGTTTGGTGCGGGGCAGGTCTTACTTTGAACCTGCTCACCCTGTCCATCTTATTCTCTACTGTCATCTATCCATCGTCCCGCTCTGACACCTCTGGTTCTTAACACTGCTTCATCTGGCCCGTAGCCCTGCATTTGCCCTACTGAATATGCATAGATGCAAGTGCAGTCGATGGCATCAAATGTTACACTGCCAGGGTGCCGCCACCGTCGGAGCAGGAGCAGAGTTACTGTAGGTGCGGGGCAGATTGAGTCGTCCTGCATCGTAACTTTCCACTGACAAGGTCCCGGCCTCATCTGCAGGTACTGGAAGAGCAGATGGGAAGAAGAGGGAAGTAAAAAAGAATTTACATCAGGGACATTAGAGACTTGAGACAACAAAAATAAAAGAGAGTGAAAAAACTATTTTTTTTCTGAAAGACAGCAGAGAATTCTGTGCAATTGCAGACTTTCTATCACTTCAGGTTTTATTTATCAGCACTTTGAATTAAGTCTGTCCACACAGTTAATTTAAAACCTAAACATCCCAATCCTGAACCAGTTTTGTTGAATTTTTAACCCATCATCTAAACATACAGATAATTAAATCAGACACACTTCAGGACAGAAAACTTTCCACCCGAAGAGTAAAAGTGAAAATGATTCAAGGATATTCAGCTACATTAATGTGAATCCATGATCTGTTCACTGGAATTATTTTCTGCTTTGTTCTGGCAGTAGCTTCAACGACCAGGCTATCAGCAGGCTCCCAGATCAGTGCTGTTGGAATCAATATGCGCTGCAGGAACTGTGTTGCAAGTGTAGTGTAGCTGTAAACTTTGATCTGCTTCATATCCACTATTACAGAGTTAGTCAGAGCTCACAGTTTTTTGTTTTGTTTTTATCTCTTGTCTCAGTACTAAATGGTGAATTGAATGAACTGTGTGATTTCAAGCGTCCACAAACAGCATCCATATTTCCCTTAAAGCACAAACACTGAGCGTAATAACTGAGCTCCTACACAAACACATTGGAGAAAGAAAAAAAAAAAAGAAAAGATGAATGCAGAAATCTTTTGCAGCCACAAAGGCTTCAGTTGGCTCCGTGCTTTACACTTATTTAATCCAGGAAAAGTTCATTGCTCTGTCCTTGTTTTCCCTTAACACCTGGCTTCACTTTCACGCAGTTACACACATTCAGCTGCAGGCTGTTAGCTACTGAGTGCACTGCTCAGGGGCACGTCAGCCATAGTTGTTCAGGACAGGAACATCGTTTGTCATTCACTCTGCCTCGCCTCTCATTCCAAACCAATGAAGGGATACCAGTGAGACTGTGTTCTTGTTGTCTGAATGATTTTCACTGCATTAGATGGTAAAGTTGAGATCAACAGTAAGATAAGAGAGCTGAACTAACAATCAAACAAAAGACTTGGTTGGCTTTCCACTATGCAGCCTGGATGGCGCTCTGTACTTCATAGAAGAACCATCCATCAGATTAATGGATGGATAAGAAGTAGGGGGGAGCTGGGATGAGGTTTATTTCTGGATGTTGAGGATGGGTTTGGGCCCTGAGAGCTCAACTGCACTGCAACTTAAGAAAACACATGAAAACAGACAAACACGCAAGCAAATAAAGAAATGGGCTGCGAGTTCACACAACACATCCAAACACAGGAACATGCTGACGACAGTGTTTCCAGAGGACACAAAAAAAGTGACGAACCCGGCTGGGACGCACTTTGTTGTTCGTCGTTTTGTGACTTTGGAAGTTAAAAGCATTGAACAACAAGTGTGCAGGTGTGTTCCATTGGGGTTCATCACTTTTCTGTGTCCCCTGAAAAACAGTGTTGTTAAAATGGTGAATTTGTTTTGTGTTTTGTCCATTTGCATGTTCTTAAGTTGCAGTGCGTTGAGCTCTCAGGGCCACCGTAGTTTTGTCTCAACAGTTAAAAACGTAATTTGCAACCAGCAGCCGATTTGACAAAAGTTGTAAACAATGCAAATCGGTGTGTCAGTCCGTCATCAGCTCTCAGTAATCTGTGCTTTCTCGTGTCAGGTGACGGACAGGTGGACTTCGATGAGTTCATGACGATCCTCGGACCCAAACTCCTGTCGTCTGAAACGAGAGAAGGTTTCCTGGGCAGCACAATAGATACCATCTTCTGGCAGGTAAAACTTTATTCTCTTCAGCACATCTGCTTTGTTCACTTTGCCGAATCATGAGTCATGAATTGAACTGGATATAAAGAACGTCTCAGTTGAAAGGTAATTACTGCGAAGTAGAGCAGGAAAAGAGTCATGATAATTATTTTCATTCTTCAGCCTTCAGTTTTTTGTTTTTTTTTTCTGGGAAACCACGGTCCAAAATTTCAAATGAAAGGTCTTGTTATATTTGGCGGCGGTTCAAAGAAGCAGTCCTTGGTCTTGCTGTACGTAAATACTGTGGTCAGGTTCACTTCGAGGTGTTCCTCTGTTTCCTGCACCAGATGTGAAAACTGAAAAATGAATGTGTGATTGGTTAAATGGCATTTAGATATTCATATGAAGTAGTACATGGTGATATATGGCAAAAACTATGATGGCAACTTAAAAACTACAATCAGAAAGAAAAAAGAACTGATTAACTGCATTTTAAGAAGGATGTAGCCCACTTCATTTTCTCCACTTCCTTTATAAGGCTGCTTGTGTCATTGATGAGCGATGGTCTCGTGCAATCAAATCAGCGATTAGAGGATTTTATGTTGATGGAAAAGAATATTTGTGCTCAGAAGTAGAAATTATCTTGGGTTTTGATTCAAGTGTTCAGTCAGTGTGTGACAAGCCCAGAGAGTCTTCTCTACTTCTCTGTGCTAATGCAATCTATAAATCACCTTATATATAAATACTGTCTACTTTATTTAACTCAGTTTCCTTACTCGCGCTGTTTCTGTGCCCCTTTGAAGGGCAGAGTAAAACAAATGCTTAATATACAGCGGCTGATGTCCTCTGGGTGATATTGTGACTGATGATGGTGATACATGACCCTGACAGATGTGTTGTTGGACAGCCATATGGGCTTTGAGAATCTGAGGAGACTCGGAGTGAGAGAGAACTCAGTGGCATAAGAAATAACGAAAGAGCGAAAGTGTCAGTGTACGAGGGTGAAATAGACCGACTCTGACAGAGAGTGATAAATGTGCGGACAATAGAAAGAGTGAGCGAGCATGATGGGAATGATGACGAATCGAGCAGGTGTGAGGGAAAGAGCCGAACGCTTGGCACCGATAGTAACACTTGGCAAGCCCGCATCCACTTGATGGAATCATTGGCTTGACCTGGCCTTTTTACTCGGGGGGGGGGGGACGCTTGTGGTTTACACCACGGGAACACCACTGGAGGTACGACGTATGAGTGCAGGCTGGGAAAATGTGCTGCCAGCCACATTTGACTGCTGCAATGACCTTGGCTTGTGCAGATGTACAACATGTTTTTTTTTTTTTTTTTTACCCCTCCAAGTAAGAGGCTGATGTGTTGTGGGTTGCCCACTTTTCTTCTCTGATGAATTAATGCCTAAAAGCATGAATTGGCAGCAAGCACCTCATCTGATGTGTGGAGCATATTCTGGGGGGGAAAAAATGTACTGCCAACCTTGATTTATCATGATTATTTCTCCACACGCCTCACAGACAATTACTTGCTTGAGGTATTACGGTTTTGTGCTTAGTTTGGTTTGTTAATGGACTGTGGTGTATGACTCACACTCTTTCTACGTATTCATTTTGTGCTCAGTCATCCGGATTGAATATTTGTTGTGAAGTGAAAGTGTTTTTAAGTGTGTGGTGGAATTGGTACAGCATTATGGCTTTACATCCTGGTAGGTGGGCACTATACAGCTCTCGTGTCCTTCGTCCTGAAACCAGCTCAACCGTCAACCATAAAACAATAAAAAACATTACATCTGCTCCGAGGAAACGTGCATTTTAACTTTTGCCAGCAGTAGAAGAATGGAAATGATCTCAGCGATGCAAGTACGTGAAGAAGAATAGCACCATCTGCTCAAAAGCCCACCCAACAGTTCAGCTAACACTGAATAAACCATCAACTGGGACGACTCACGCTGCTGGCTCACTACGTCCCACTCATCAGAATTCAGACACTGCACTGGATTGTCAATCACATGCTTATAAAATGGCTTTTCCTTTGTGTTTATTCAGTGTTATATTAACACAAAATATAATAATGACTAAAGCTGTGTCCCAACTCAGTGGCAGCATCTTTCGGAGGATGCGGTCTACGAAGGTGTGGCCGAACTGAAATGAGACGGCCTCGCCTATGGAAGACTTGCCTCACGACGCCACCTGTTCCCGCCTTTACCGTTGCGTTGCAAAGCGTGGCTCCCGTCGTCTAACAACCTAAGACCCTTGGTTTTTTGTACCATTAGCTGTTTACCTGAGCTGAAACCCAATACTTACATGTAAAAGTGTAATCCTCTGGCTCTCTGTAGGCGTTTGTTTGCTGCCATATTATTTTCATTATCGGCCCGCAATGAATCTTGGGATAGGTTGGGCCATGAAGGATCCGCCTGTTGGATCCTTTTCTATCTGCTCGCTAGTGGCTGAAAAATGATTCATGCTTTGGAAAGAGAATAAAATTTTAGATTGTGGTCACTGATTTCAGAAATAAACCCGGATCTGTTTAGATGTCGTCGTCATCATCAAGTAAAATATTTGTATTTTCATTTCAATCAGGAGAGACTAATAAGGGGAACAAAAGAATATGATACATTTTACATTAAATGATATTTATTGTGGTATTGTGATTACTGAGAGGCCAAGACACTGGTAGTGATGATGAGGAGTGGAGCTCGAGGATGGGAACGTCTTTATGAGAGGGAAACGTCTGATGGGATAGTTTGACCAGAGATGGTCAGGCAGGTTGGTGAAGGCGGTGAAGCGGCGGAGGTGGGTCTGAAATTTTTTGCGGTTCTAAAATGACAGTTGAATGACAGCAGGGGGAGACACTTTTAAAGTTTGACAGCTTAAGAGTGATTGGCTAAAGGCCACTGTGTCAGGGTGTGATTGGATGAAGACGAGAATGAGCTGGTGGAGTTTCGAGATAACAGGAATCGTGCTTGCGACTTAGAACGCACACACGTCTTCCTGACTGAACTTTTGCTAAGTTTCACTTGATGAGCATTAAATTCTTTCAAGCAACTTTTAAGATCTTTAAGTATTTTTCTGCCTCTTGGCATCATTAGGCTTTCAGTGCAGAAGTATATATTCTCCACCTGACAGGAAAATAAATAGCACTCTTTAAGTAGAGCAGTTTTTTTTTTTTTAACCAGAACTGGAATGATGCTGAAATGGTCTGCAGAACTTTCTGTAAAGGAAGAGTCAATATCCGCTTAACTTCCTCTTTAAATCTTCTTTCAGTTTTACTAGAAGTACATTCATTCAACACATCTCATTTTAATGATCTGCCTTTGAAGAATGAAAACCCATTAAACTCATCTTGATTGACTCCATTGGCCACAGTGCATTGTAGCGTTATTAGAATATGAAACCGTGAGACAGTAAATGTTATTTTTCATGAGTTTCAGAGCTGTAGTAACCTTTATGTTCATCAAAGAAAGCCAAGTAGAGACTGAGGAGTTAGAACAAATTGCTAGAAGGTGTCGTATAAAACCGCAAATCTCTGTAGCTTTATGACTGATCAAGCCTCTTTACAGCAAAGTCTGAGTCAGTTTTGAATACCCGACTGTTTCTATAAACATGAATCATGGCGGTGCAGCGCTGAAAGCATTTAGCTGGAGGGGGTTTTGTGTCGCCCTCATTAAAATCCACAGCTATAATTGCATTTGACAGATGAAAATTTCCTCCATCTGGCATTTTGCAGGATTTTACAATGAAGTATTTATTTTTCCGCAGCCGAGCTTGTCAGAGTTTGTCTCCGTCAGAGCGGAGCAGGATTCACTCTGCAGGAGCGTGACACCGGCAGACCCCGGCTAACTCGCGTGACCCCCTGGTTCGGTCTTCTTTAACCGCGAGAGCAGCTCGGTTCCTGTCCTAGCTGAGAGAGTTTCTCATTCCACTAATGTCAGGCAAAGTGTCACATCCTCACCAGCTGGAGTGATGGGATAATGATTCACCCGCTGTCACACACTCACCTTCCTACTCACTCGTATCTGCTTTTGAACAGTGCGATAATGTATCTAATTATCCCGTCTGGATAATTATGAGCTTGTAATTGAAGAAGTGCAAACATTTTATTTTCCTCTGTTTTGCAAATCATCTTCAGGACAGTTAGAGCTAAAAGAGGGCTTCATGAATCATAAACACACTATTGAACTCTGATAAAGACGTGTATACAACTTTTTTTAATCCCTTAAATTCACATTATGTAGATTCATCTTATGAATTACATTAGATAACATCTGTCATTTTGTTCTTTTTTTTAAATTTCCAGGATAGATTGACCTTAAAAAGGTTTTCCACGTGACACATGAAGGACTTTACTCATTCCTGTGATAATTACTGACAGAGTGTGGAATACATATTTAAGAAGATCAAGGCTCCTCTGTGCTTTTAATTACAGGTCAATGTCCCTCACGTTGTACTAATTAATCCCTGAGCCGGACTGTGTCTCATCATTGAGATGATGATTTATGCCACTGACCCGAGTACAGTGAGGTACACAGCAGCTCCGAATGTGAGCGGAGGAAATGCAGACCGTGTACGGTGCTGTCATAATTCATAAGTTGTGAAAACTCGTAAGCTATTACGTGTCCAAAATCATAAGTCATGACTTGTCAAACACAGTGTGTTCCATCTCTGTCTGCTTGAGATTTATAACATGATTTCACTTGTGGAGTACACAGTGAGCTGCAGTCAGCTGATGGTGATGTTGGCACTTGTGTTATTTTTCAGGATTCACCGAGCCAAACATTTGGGCTCACCGTTCTCTCTCTTTCGTTATTATATTGTTTTCTCTTTTTAGCTTTTCTTGTTGAGCGTAATTTGTTTGGGGATTGTGTCCAGAACAAAAATATTTCGAGGAAGTTGTCCAGAAAACAAGCCAGAGAACCTGGTGGTAATTTTCCTGAACCTATTATAAGCCATGCAGACAGTTTTTGGTGAGGAATATCATTATGAGACCTGCTACTGATCTTCTTGGTCCCCAGACCTGATGGC